GGATCTTCAGGGTACGGATCCCCCGTGAAAAACGAGGGACTACTGTATATATGTATAAATATAAATACTAAAGTAAACTACTAATTATTACTTGTATTAATATTCCTTCTTCACAGTTTTTCATTTATTGCCGGGGGGGGGGGGGGGGGTTGCTAGTAATGGAACCCACATGATAAACGAGAGACTACTAGGTAGTGCTTTAGCACAGAATGGAGCCAGTCGAGAACAATACTGTGTGCTGTGAAGTCCACAAATGACTTGTGATTTTTTCATAATTCATTTTAAACAGTACACATAATCTTAAAACTAATGTTAGCACTAACCAATACCAGTTATTTAAATGGCTTGTTTGTATTTAAAATATTTTTTTTAAAGCATATTTATATTAAATAAACATAAAAAACACAGTTCAGACATGGTTTACTATATTTTAGTTAAACATTGAGTTTAAAACATTGAGTTTAAATGATTACATTCTGTTATATATTTACATTTTACAGAATGAAAAATTGAAGTACTGTGACTGTAGACTGAGTAATAAATGGCTTTATGTCTCATACAATAATATTTGAGCAGGGACGAGACTATCTGCTTTTAGCATGTATTTAAACACCCACATCAACATTACTGTAAGGCTTTAGATTCAATAATAATCAGATAAAAATCTGAGTAATTTAGACGTTGCAGCAAAAAGCATTACTGAAAACATGAACTCAAAGCTGACGATAGAAACAACAAATATCTGATCTCATAAATCCTGCATACATGTTAGAAATCTGCATCCCTTCATGGCTCAGGAAACACTGCAGTCATCCAGGTGCTTCTGTACGTATTTCACAAAATCTGGCAGCAAAGCATGCTGTGCATTACAAAACGTGCCACTCCGGGCTGTAATGTTTGACGGCTTGTTCGGATGGGGAGAAACCTGCTGTGTCTATGTTGAAGGAAGTGTTGATTGCATGACATAAGGCAGCAGTTTCCCTGATGGTTCTGATAACACAAAGGTGATCGACATCAGTATCTACTAATGCCACACTCAGTATTAAGAAAAGTAAAGACACTCCATGATAATGGGACGAGACCTGCATGGAGTAAATCTTAAAAGTAACCTTCTTTGTCATTTTTGTGCCTGCTTGCTGAGCAGAAATTTGTTTTAATTGACATCCTTACTGGCAGAACTGTCACCTGTTTTGTCAAGTCAAGCTATTTCCAATCACTAAATGTCTGCTGTCATTACAGTAGGAGTGGCTGCAGGCAATGTTCTTGTGTCAGTGGAAAAATTATTTTTATTTTAAACCCAATTAAGACAGAAATAAATAGTTGCAAGATGTGACAGAATGCCTCAAGTGGACCTTCATATAGAAGCTGTCTTGCTGCAGATACTTCTTGTTTGATTCAGTCAGGGTCAGACTGCACACGTACATCATATTTTAAACAGTTCATGGTCAGGTTTTCAGGGTGTAAAATAGTTTTCCGTGTTTCTGTGGTTTAGCCTTAAGAAACCTAAAAAAAAAATCAGTGCACATTAATTAAACCAGGCAGGAATGTTGCCATTAGATTTACCATTTCCACAGTACAACCTTAGCCATTCTCTGCAAACTAGTCTTGCAAAGATATTCTGGTCATTAACATATACATATATTTTTTTTTTTTACCTACAGAGGAATAGCGCAAACTATTGATGTTAGGCAGGAACATTCTTTCTGATTAAAAAAATACTTTTCAGGAAATGAAAAAGTCCTATTTTATAAGTGTAGCTGGTCTGGGAAGCTCAGTCCTCACCTCCTTCTACAGGTGTGCAGTGGAGAGCACCCTGTGCTCCACCGTCAACGTGTGGCATGGAGGCTGCACAGCTGCAGAAAGAAAAGCTTTGCAGAGAGTGGTGAAGGCTGCACAGAAGTCTGTTGGAGTCAGCCTCACCACCATCACAGACATCTACACCTCTAGATGCAGGAAGAGAGCCACCTGCATCATGAAGGACCCCACTCACCCAGCACACACACTTTTTTCCCTGCTCCCCTCAGGAAGGAGGTTGAGGAGCATTAAGTGTAGAATCACTAGACTGAGGAACAGCTTGTACCCTGAGGCTGTTAGACTCATGAATATCTAATCAGAATATTCACTGTGAAAAATCAGATCACGTTGCTGCTGATCTGTTTCATGTTGCTGCTGATCTGTTTCATGTTGCTGCTGATCTGTTTCATGTTGCTGCTGATTTGTTTCATGTTGCTGCTGATCTGTTTCATGTTGCTGTGTTCATTCATACTCATCTGCTCACAGACTCATGTTCGTGCTGCTGTTCAGCGTATTGTTTTTATGCTATTAGTGCTGAGCGTATTTTTAGTTAACGTTTTTCTTAGTCCACATCTTAGATCTTATTACTGTTTTTATTTTACATTTTATTGTTTGATGTAACTGGGACCCTGTGTGCACAATTTCGTTCCACCACATGTACCACGTGCGAATGACAAATAAAGAAACTCTGACTCTGACTCAAATGTTAAAAATAACAGCTCTAGATGAAATATATGAACAGATTTGGTTCACTATTTGGCAAGAAACTGGTCAGTTTTGTCTCTGTCACCCTAAATTAATGCATAATAAGCAGTTATTGACTTATAAATTGTTTATAGGGGAATTAAAAATTTATATATAAACTATTTATTAGCCATCTATAAGAGGAGCCTTATTGTAAAGTGACACCCAAATATGTAAGATGCACAACCTATAACCAACTGTAGATTGTGGAAAAACTGTCTGAAAAGCAGAAACTAAAATGCACCATGAAAGATGGAGGGTTTGATCGGCAGATTTGAAACTACTGTTCAGTCGCAGTATTGCTGATCATGTCCAAAATAACATTCAATCTTCAAAAAAAAAAAAAAAGGAAAAAAAGACATAAATATGATTGTTTTTGTGTTGTACTGATTGTATTATCATCTGTGTCATAGAAACACTGAGCTGCACAGGTTGTGCGCTGACAACAAGAAAAGGATAACGTCAGGAATTTAATTTGAATTGGATCGTATACCTGGATTATTGAGAATGGACTCTGTTAATTTGAATTAGTCAAAAAAAAAACGGTCATCAATTGGAATAAATCATGTGGACCAATCAGAAGTGCACACATTCTGACAGTTCATGGAGCTCTGCTTTACTTCAGCTCACTGAGATGCAAGTCGTGTTTGAGACACAGAGAGGACGAGCTGGATCCCCGGGGTGCTGCTTAAATATTCTTGTTAATCTATTTTAAAGATAGACATCTCTTTGACATCTAAATCTAGGTTCAGACGTCTTTGAAAGCTTCACTTTAAAACCTTATTAAGCCCAGACAGGTATGGGCTTTTAGGATGTTTAGAAATCTTTTAAACAAGAACAACAAGAAAAAAAAAAAGCTCTGGGTTTTATTAGTCGAGATGAATTTGGGTTTTTAAAACGTAATGTTTCAGGTAATGTGGTAATTTTCCATCTTTAAAATCTGCTTGAGACATTTAAAGGGAATCAAACAGAAAAAAAAACATTAAACCAACAAGACGCCTTTTAACAACCTCATACATCTTTTTGTCTTTTCTATCTAAAGCAGGTCAATTTGGACTCCAATCTAATAAAGGCAGCTGCATTAACTGGATTTCTTTAGCCAGCAGCTTGGCAGATAGAGCAGGCTCTCACCTTCCCTGGGGGGCCACTGTCCCCCTGCTCTCCCTTTAATCCATGCTGTCCTTGAGGTCCAGCAATGCCCTGAAGACCAAATCACATAATGTTAGTAAGGAGGAGGGTTTAATGGAAAAACAACAGGATGCACACCAAAGGTGCACATGACCAAAACAAACAAACAAAAACAATCTGACACATGCACATGCAGTACCTGCTTTCCTGGTAATCCAGGAATTCCTTCTTTCCCTGGGACTCCGTCTCTTCCAGGAACTCCAGGTTTACCAGACTCACCCTGAGGAGCAGAGCGTCCCACACTGAATGTCACTTGTTTGTAATTTTTAGAAAAATGTCTGCAGTCATCTCCTCACTCTCGTCTTCCCTTCTTCTGTTTATTGTGTGATCGTTTATGAAGCATTCACACTATTGTAATCCATTTTTCTTCCATACGTTTTTCAGCATCTTTCTTGTTCCATAATATGTGTACTACTTCAACAATCATATTTCAGAACATTAAGATTGTTCATGACAATCATGCTATGAATTTTGGTATTGGTGCAACCTTAGCTTTTTGAAATATTTAGCCTTTTCTGCTACTTTTTTTTTCCTCACAGGAAATGAATGGACTTCATTTTACATCCTTCAAATCTTTAGATATGTTTACAACTTTTTATTGCTCCTCTCACATTTTGTTCTGGTTCAGCTACTTTCAGCTTCCTTGTGCAATGGTTTTTTTTTTTTTTACCTTTTTCAGGGTCTTTCAGCAAATTTCAGCAATTTTGTGCTGCTTTAAGATTTTTTTTGGCTATTGTTGTGCTTCTTCTAACTTCTTTTGCTAATTTCAGCTTGTTGTGCTCCTTTCAGTTAACTTCTGCAAGTTTCAGCATTTCCTGCTATTTCAGCTACTATTTAACTGTTTTATGCTTATTTTAGCACTTTCAGCTAATTCCAAATATTTTACACTCATTTCAATTTTTTTCAGCGTATTTCAGCAAAAATGTGCTCTCTCCATTTCTTTTCAGTAATATAAGCTTCTCTCTGCATTATTAGTTACTTTCAGCAAGTTTTTTTGGTTGTTGCTAATTTCAGCTTTTTTTCCATTAATTTCCACTTTTTTGTGCTAATTTTTGCATCTTTCAGCTTAACTGGGCAAAACTGTGCTCTCTCCATTTCCTTCTGGTAAATTAAGCTTTTTCTACCTTTTCTGCTAACTTTTAAGTATTTATTAGCTGATTTGGGCTGTTTGCAGACAAGTTCATGTTTTTTGTGGTAATTTCTGTGACTTCCAGCCTAATTAACATATTTCTATTAATTTCAGCATGTTATGTTCCTTTCAGCTTATTCATGCTAGTTTCAGCTTTTTTTTTTTTTTTGCTATTTCAGCTACTATTTAGCTGTTTTGTGCTAATTTTAGCTTTTTCAGCTAATTCCACATTTTTAGCCATTTCAGCTTGTTCCACTTCCTTCTGGTAGCTTAAGTTTCTTTCTGCCTTTTCAGCTACTTTTCAGCTATTTTTTTTTGCTAACTTCAGCTATTTTAGCTAACTTCCTAATTTTTGTGATCATTTCAGCTTATTTAAACCTACGATAATTCGACAAATATGTGTACTTTCTGATTTATTCTGCTAACCTGGGCTTGTTCTTGTACTTCAGCTATGTTTTAGCAATTTTTTTAGCTAATTTCAGCTGTTTTTCAGCAAGTTCTTCAGCAGTAAGCATTCACACTGCATTTTTGCAGGAAATGCAATTTCTCTAGTTCTATTTACATCAGCATCCAGCAGCACAGTATATCAGAGCAAATACAAGATAAGAATTGTAGAAATGGAGATTGCATTGATTACTCTTAGTGAAACATAAACACGTTCCTGCTCACGCTAACTCAAACACAGAATGTTGCTGTTATTTATCACTTAAAGCTGGTTACATATGTTTTGGCCTTTTTGTTTAATTTTTACACACAACTGAAATGTCTCAGGGACAAAACATTTTTTTTTCCTCTTTTTTGTTTTCTTACAGTGCAGCAAAAGTAGCCCCCAGAAAAAAAATTATACTCACCACCTGCCCTGAGAGCCCTGGGGGGCCCTGCGGACCCTGCCGGGAGAAATAGAAACAACATTGTAAGGCAACATGTTTTATTACACACCAAGAGGATTTTTTTGAATGTCACAAAAGAACAAGAATGAGGCCGTCAATGACAAGAAGCTGTGATTTATGGAAACACATACTACAGCTCCTGGAGGACCTGGTGGTCCTGGTAGACCTGTGCTTCCCTGAGCACCAGGAGGACCCTGCAGAGAGGTGAAGTAAATTAAATTACTGCATCTTTTATAGCTCTAATGTTTGGACCATTGTATGATGGGGTACAGAGACAACTAAATAAAAAAAATAAAAATTTGGTTTTCTTACCTGGACACCAACTCCTGGTTCTCCTTGATTACCCTGTCACAAACAGAAAGTTGCTTACAGTTTTGTTAGCGTGCAACGAGACACACAATGATGAAAAGTGCAATGATCTCACCTTCAAACCCTGAGGACCTGGCTGTCCAGTAGGACCCAGAGGGCCCTGATTAAAGAAACAATGAAAAAGCATCCCATTTAAATGTAACATTTAACAACTGTTATTAGGAACGTCCTTGTTATTCCACGCTTGTCTTACTTACAGTTGGCCCCCTTATGCCATTCTCTCCTGGGTTTCCCTGTGTGCAAAATTTTACACAATGTTTAAAAATGGGTTTTAGCTGCAACTACACAGATGCCACATGTTAGAGGAACATTTTAGAAAACTGCACTGACTTTCTTGCTGAAACTTAAAAGAAAATAAAACTCATCTGTTAATCACAGAACAGGAATTGATTTTACTGAGTGTGTTGTTTTAAGGAAAAAAATATTTTGAGAATTTTAAAATGGTTTAGTGAGCATTAAACTTGCACACTTCAGGTTAAAGCATAATTTGTAAAAAAACAACAAAAACTTGATTTACACCTAAACATAATCTAAAAACTTTGTTTTCCCCTCACCTTGACCTTGACAAATCATTGCAGTGGTATTAACTATATTCTTGTGATTACAGTGTTTTTATTGCTTGCGAACTACATTAATTATTTTTTCTCAAAGACATCCAGATAATGGTTACCTTCAGTTAAAAAAAAAAAACTATTAAAATAGTTAAACCCACAATCTGAACTGGATGCATCAAAGTGGCAGGAAAAAAAAAAAAAACAAAAAAAAACAATCAATGATGTCTATAAAATCATTCAGCTCATGTCTGTCAATGTCATTTTCTCTTAACTTTCAGAAACAAAGTCAGGAACATTTTCTAAAAATGTGCATTTATCCCTTTATATGACATATTTAGGCACAAATTTTTTAAAGCGATAGTTCAAACCTTTTGAAGTGGGGTTCTGTAGAAGAGTTAGGAACAATATACAAATAACCTGTTGCTCTCTGAATAACCTCATTGGAGAGAAACAGACTAACTTTGACTGAACTGATGAGATTACTGTTAGAGTAGGGACAAAACCAAAATGGATTGCTGTCATCTTAAAATAAATCTAGCCCCTAAAATTTTGTTATTGCAAATGTAATTTGATCACTAGTTTTTACCTTGTCGGCTGTGACATTAGTCACAGAGCAGAGAGTATGTAGAAAAAAGGCTAAAGTCTTCCTCCAGGCTAAGCTAATGACTAGTCAAATAAGGGCCAGTTGTAGTTTGTTTAACAATCTTATAAAACAACAACAATGGCATAAAGATGTGAAAGAACACTACGTTATAGACAATAAGTTTAAACTGATGAACTAATAGCTTCATCAAATAATTAGCATTAAGTGAAAATGTTGAATATTAGCTGATTTAGCATTCTTTCACATCTGTGTAACTTTTTTAAAAAGTTGCTTTATATGTCTGAAAAATGGCTCTCATTTGGCTATCCATTAACCTCGCCTGGACAAAAATTACTGCCATTTTATTTATACTTTGAACACTTTGACTGATGTGTATAAGATACTAGCTACTGATACCGTAATTTTTGCTGTATAAATCGCAGTTTTTTTTTTTTTGTTGCATAAATTAGCATGCCTGCGACTTGGACAGTGAAGCAACGTATTTATGTTCCCCCCCCCCCCCCCCCAAATTTATAACGCCATTTTTGGCTGAGATCTGACAATTTCATTCATTCTGACATGGAAAATATTGAACACTACCATTTTCAGGCACTAGAGGGCCCTCAACTAATATGGCAAGCCAAGTGTCTCATTAATGTGTAAAATTGGCTATTAATGAGACACTCGGCTTGCCATACCAAGTCATTTTCGTCTCGCGCCGGAACTCCTGGAGCAAATGTCAAATCAGCTGCATTTCGTTGCGCCGCCCAGGAGAAATGCAGCTGATTTGACCATTAAAGTGAATTTATTAAGTAAATGGACTATACTTATATAGCACCTTTCTATCTTATCGAGATAGTCAAAGCGCTTTACACTACAATCTGTGTCCTCATTTACCCATTCATACAGCACTCTAATAGATCTATACAAAGCTAATTGAGCAAATCATTCTAAAGAGAAGAATCAGTGCTTTTATCACATTCATACACTGATGATTAAGGAAAAGTTCAACTGAGACACACCTTTGCTATAATTTCAAGCAAACAAATAATTGTTTTTAAGTGTTAATCTTGTTAAATTCTTGTTAAAGTCCTCCCGTGCACGCTCCCGCGACCACCATTTTTGGCACAACACCAGTTCACATTTCCGGGTGGTCAGCAGTGACGCGTAACAAACACGACGCGTCAGTGGTCATGCATAATAGATGCGACTTATACGGCAAAGTGACGTGTTTATGTTTTTTTTTCCCACTTTATTAGACATATTTTGACTGATGAGACTTATACAACGGTATGACGTGTACGGCAGCAAGTACGATAACTTTTTGATAAAACATTGCTTCAAAAATGACCACACTACCCTTTTAAATATGTTTACCCTATCCAATGGATCCCACTTGAAAAGATTTGAACCATTTCTTTAAGGTAAATTTGAGCACGTAAAATATAGTATGTACTATATTTTTGTGCTAAGTAACGGACCACACTGAATTCCTAACACATACATTTATACACAGACAGTTTTACAAGGAGACGTTAATATTCAAGACAAACGTAAACAATTTAACAACAGTCAGTAATGCACAAGCTCCGAAACACCAGCACTGTGTAGAGAAGAAGCACAGGGACAGCAGGCACAGCTGCATGCACAATAAGCAAACTCAACAGTAAATATGTTTCCCCCACCCATTCCCTCCACCTGCACACCATCAGACAGACACACACAAACACAGATACTCATTGAGACACACACTAACACTGGATTCAGATGAGGGCTCCACCTCAGGATGTTATCTGACTCCCTTTCATCTTTTCTAACATTATTTATTTATTTATTTATTTTAATTTCAGGTTTAAATTTCAACTTTTGACTTTGACACATTTGCTTTGGGGGCATTTTCAAGGTCTGACTCTTATCCCAGCTGCCAGATTATGTTCCCCAATGCAAATAAATTAGGATTAAAGCAGTAAAATGTGTCTACATGTTACATCACAGAGTGTGCATCCTGATGATAGGTTCTCCATTTCTTCCACATTTCAAGATGCTTGATGCCTAAGCTACAGCCCACAGGCGTCTCAATGACTTGTGTCCACGCCCACTTGTATCTTGCACAACCCGGACGTGTTCTTCAGACCCTCTTTCCTGCAGAGTTAAAGCACGCCAGCCAGCAGCAGAAAACCTACCGGTCTGCCTAGAACTCCGGGGAACCCAGGCAAGCCCTAGAGAGGATGAAAGTCCAAAGAAAGAAGACGACAGGAGGGTGGTGAGACAGAGAGGTGGAGAAAAGCATTGAAATAGGGGTGAACACAGATATGAACAGAGATAAGACAGACATGGGGAGAAAGACAGTTAGAGAGTGGGGTGTTAGCTGCACAGCTGCAACAGGATCAATAAAGCCTCAGCACAAGGAAGGGGAAAAAAGAGAGCTCTGTTTGCTTTTTGCTCGCAGCCAACCCAGTATTTTAAGTCTGCCAATCAAACCTAAAAGCAGACTGGGTTATGGGTTACTCACTGGTTGGCCTGGAGGACCAGCAGGCCCTGCTGGGCCCTGCTCCAACATGCCGGGAGGGAAAATAAAAATAATGAGGAATATTGAACTTCTTCTTACATTTACCTACAGCAACACCGCCAATCAGGACTTGGACAACTTCCCGACAGTGTTTTTAATTAGGGATGCACGATATTGGATTTTTGGCTGATATCCGATATGCCGATATGTTAAATCTTATTTTGCCGATAACCGATACCAATACCGATATTTTTTCACTTAGCCCTACTTACAGAGACTACATAGCTTTCAATGCTGTGGAATTAAAATAAGACATTATTCTGCATGGTCTTTGTCAATTTGGCCTGCTACCAAATGCAGATGCCAAAAAGGGGACTGAAAATGATTATATATATATATATATATATTTTTTTTTTAAATAGTACCTTTTATATCGGTGAGTTATTTTGATGGAATGGCCAATGTCCTACTTTGTATATTTAACTTTATCGCTAATATTGGTCGATAACATGCCGATAATATTGTGCATCCCTATTTTTAATGATAAATCCATCTTTAGGGATAAGATGAAACTTCAGTGTCTAAAGATGGACCTTGCAATTTTTATTTGTAACTTATTGCTAAAAGTGTCATTATTACTTTACTGATCAAACATTATTGCAAATACTGCATCAATGGGAATCAATTAAAAATTAACTTTAGACAAACATGAGTAGTTTTACCACATTTGGTTGCTTTCATAGAAAAAAAGACTGCTTACCAATCTGCTGAAACAAATGTTCACACCATATTTAAACAATGTCCATATTATATCATGCGCTTAATGAAAATGTGAAACTGAAGAACTGGTGATACAAATGTCAGTTTGTAGAACATCACATGTTGCCCTTCACTCACTGGTTTTCCATCCTGACCAGGTTTTCCCGGTTGTCCTGGTTCACCCTGGAATTTTAAATGATAAATTACTACATTTTACAATTGTTATAATACCAAAAAACATGAAAATTACTAGTATTGTTTTCTATACCAATTAAAATATTAAACATTCATTCAACGTTTATTTAGACAGGTTAATCCCAATGAGCCTCGAGGACTCATTTTCAAGAGAGACGTAAACATAACAACCTGAAACATAGCTTTCCATTTGACTAAATGTACATATAAGAAGCCTAAATAGGCTTAAAAATTTAGTACATAAAACAATGTTTTATTTTTTTCTACACTTTGTCAGTTACTTAGATTAAAACATACATGTGCAATAATTTTTTTTGATTATTTATAATTTTATATTGATATCCTATATTAAATGTGCTTTAAAATAGCTGTTAGACATTTTAGCTTTGTGGAAACTAACATTTTAAACCCTATCGCTTACAATTTGTTTTAGTTTAACCCATAAAGGGTTAAACAGGGTGTGTACTGGCATTCAAATAACATAAGATCTCATAAAAAATATACCATGTTTTCTCCATTCCTTTTAGTCAAAAATGTTTTCATCTTGATTTCATCTCTAAGCTGCATCAGACTTTTGATGAATCTTGGAATTTTACAGACCGAGAGATCATCCCTGCAGATTGCCAGATAATATAAGCTTTATCTTTTGCTGAGGTATAATCTATCACTGCTTTAAATCAGACATTCTGTTCCAAAACAGAAACGTATGCTGTATAAACATTCTCTTTTTAAATTATTTAATGATGCAGTTGATAAAAGGAGTCCTTTTTTATTTTGTCTGAAAAGAGAATTTTTTTAAACAATAAATGTTGCTTTTAAAGGTTTATGTTGTTAATGACGTGTGTCAACTGCAGTTAAGTCCAACTTCATTTATCTCTCTGTATCCTACTACTTTAAATAAGTTTCTTTTTTTGTAAAAACTATTAAAAAATAATAATAATAATTTACATTTGTAAACAAAAAACCACAATTTTCAAATGCCATCTCTTTATAAAAAAATAAAATCTGTCAATGGTGAGAAATAATGTGTACAACTGCAATAATTTCTATGCCAGGTTGTTGAAGAGACTGTTAATGTATAGATCAATTCATTGGCAAACAGAAAATAGCTTGTTTTTTGCTTTAGCTTAATCAAAGACATTTTGTGACTCCAATTTCAATATATACATTGATGAAAGTGTGTTAGTTTAAACAAACCATCCATAAGTCTTTGCACTGTTCAGAAAAACAATTTATACCCAGGTCTGAAGTCAGTGGGAAAATACCATAAAGTGTGGTGCATTTTACACTCCCTGCTTTCCTTGACAGTGGACCCCAAATACTTTAAGTCCTGCACCTTTGTGACCTCTGCTCCTTGTAGCCTCACTGTTCCACCAGCCTCCCTCTCATCCACACACATGTACTCAGTCTTACTACGAATGACTTTCATTCTTCTTCTTTCAAGTGCATACCTCCTTCTCTCTGAGTTCACTTCCACCTGTTCCCTGTTCTCGCCACAGATCACAATGTCATCTGCAAACATCATAGTCCACGGGGATTCCTGCCTGACCTCATCTGTTAGTCGGCCCATCACCAGAGCAAACAAGAAGGGGCTCAGAGCTGATCCTTGATGCACTCCCACCTCCACCTTGAAGCTATCAGGACTTGAAGCTAGCATTTTATTGTTGGATGTAACTGGGACCTTGTGTACATAATTTCGCTCCACCACATGTACCACATGAGGTGCGAATGACAATAAAGAAACTCTGACTCTGACTCTGACTATCTGTCACTCCTACAGAACATCTCATCACTGTCCTGCTGTCCTCATGCATGTTCTGCAAATGACACCCTAAACATATAATATTCGGTCCATGTAGCAAAGAGGGATGCCAGACTGGCTTTATACATTATTTATATACTGTCTGAGTAAGAACTAGCTTTTTAGTAGATAGATATAACTTAAAAAAGATAATCAATCACATTCCCAAAAAAGGCAGTGTTCTTTAAGCTTTTTGCAACAGTCAAGTCTAAAGGAGTTTGGCTCCTTTCCAAGGAAACACAAAAGATTACATTCTGAGACCTTTTCAACATAAAAAAATAGGTCTCCCCCATTTCCTGTCCCTTCACAAAAGATTGGTCCACTCATCAAACCCTTATGAACAGAGTATCTCTCTGGAAATATCAAGTGCAGCCGAGCTTCAGTAAATAGGTACTTTTCAAAGGTTAACTTAAAACACAGTCACTTTTCTTTAATCTACCTCTGAGTATAACTAAACACATTCATCATTTTTTCCCCTTTTATTTCTCTGCATAGCCTTCCTGTAATCTAATCTGAGCTGAGAGCTATCTCACCAATGAGCCGCTACGTCCTTTTTCTCCAACCTCTCCTCGGTCTCCTTTTTCACCACGAGGTCCCACAAAACCCTGCAAAAAATACATCAGCAAAAATGGTCATAACATATATCAGGTATTATGTAATTGTAAATGTTAAATAAATCTTACCCGGTCTCCTTTGGGTCCTGATGGTCCAGTAAGACCAGGCTCACCGTTCTCGCCTGGGGGGCCTCTGAGCCCAGGTGTACCAAGCAGAACTGATTCCCCAGGAGCTCCCTACAAGATATATTAAACCCTTACCATACACTATACCATCTATAGTTACTCTTTACCATACCCCACTGGTGATATCACATAAACCATCAGATTGTACCTTTTCTCCCTGAGGCCCAGCTGGTCCTGCTAGTCCAACTAGACCCTGATGAACAGAGTAAATTCTCAGTTGACAGTAAAAACTGTAAAAACTACACATAACTAGCATAACTACTTACAGCATTGCCTTTATCTCCTTTGTCTCCTCGCTCTCCCTAAAACACACAAACATCATATCGCAAGTCATGTTTCGTTATCGAGCATCCGTATTTTAGCACACCAGCTCTCCTCTTTACCTTTTCTCCTGGTCTTCCAGTCTCCCCGAGTTCCCCTGCTCTTCCAGGAACACCAGGTATTCCAGGTTTGCCAGGCTCTCCTGCGGGCCCCGGGGGTCCCTCTGGTCCTCGCTCTCCAATGGCTCTTCCTGGGAGCCCAGTTGGTCCCGTCTGTCCTCTCTCCCCTTGTTCCCCTTTGATTCCCCTCTCTCCTGGAAAACCTCGAGCACCCTGATGCAAAACAGGACAAAAAAGGTGCGTCATTTTGATTTGCTATGATCTGACATGATGTCTTCATTCTACAGTATGTTATCTTTACTCTTGGGGCAGATTTGCTGTCTGGGTCAGTTTAGCATGAGGTCACAATTCAGATTTATCTCCGGCATGATCATCCAGCTCTTCATCTACCAACAGGCACAGCCAACTTGTTTTAGTGAGGATCAAATCAGTCGACAAACAGAGGTGTTGATAAAAATGGAATAACAACACAGTTTATATCCTGTTACTACACTGCAGGTCAAATAACCACAAACCTGATCACCTGTTCAGGTATTTAAGATGAGCTAGACTTCACACTTGTACTCAAATAAATTTACACGTTTAAGTCTGTTATGGTCCAGAGTTGGAGGGTGCACTTAAGTGAAGGAGTCATTAAACTCAAATGTAAAGTCAAACCAAAAATAGAACTGTTTGCACTTAACCACCTGATGCCACTTTACAACCCAAACGTGGAGTTGTCATCGTCTTATAATTGGAAGGTGAGTGTTTTGATCCAGACTGAGTCCTTGAGAAAAACACTGAACCCACAATGCCCCAGATAAATTAATGAGAGTGCAATGGCAGAGGAAGAGCTCTGCACAAAGAGAGCAAATTTAAAATAAATATGGCTGCATGAACGCTTACGACAGAGAGCAAGGTAAATAAGTAACACAATGTGAAGCACTTTGTAAAACCTTTGGTGAGATTCAGAAGTAGATTAGATCAGTGGATTTGTAAATTTTTTTTCAAAGGTCAGTTTTTAGACATCAGGGTTGCTGATGTTTGATTTAAAAAGCTGATTTAAACTTTGTTTTGGCCCATAAATACACTATTGGCAAATGCATTCATTTTCAACATTATAATTTCATTTTCTAAAATGAAAAATATTAAAACGCAAAGATAGAATAGCCAGTGGTTATGGGGTGTGGGATAGTAAAAGGAAAAGCATAGAGCTCAGGACAAACGCATTAGAAACATTTAGTCTCCAATTAATATCAAACTGTCCTTTTACACAGTAGCTGAGATATTTGTGAACATCAAGTTTGTAAAATTTACAATTGATGATGATCATGAAAGCAATGACTTTGGTTATTTCCTAAAGTGTTAAAACACATGTATGGTAATTAGTAAAGAATAAGAGTGTAAAGTTAAGTTACATTAGAGTTAAAATGTAAAGTTATAATATTTTGGTAAACTTTCTTTTAGGTCTCCCAGTGTGGTGCAAAAAAAAAAAACCTGCTCTAAATATCAAGACCAACAACACTGCTCAGGCGTGGACAATGCAGATTTGAAAAATGGCAACAAAAATAAAATCATATCTTCTAAGAAGGCACATAAATAAAAAGTGTTATCCTCCTTGCAACATCAAACACAAAAGTGAGGACATGCTTGTTTTTGAACAGTAAAATCAGCCCAATTCTGAGTGAATTTTGCAGTGAAAAGCTTTTTTTTGGTGAAAATGCAACATAAATGCTGAGAGCTGAGGTTTGCTGAAGAAGCTAAAACTGATTTGTTAAAGTGAAGACAAGTAGCACAGAGGTTAATGTTAGTAAAACAGAGACTTAGATTAGAAAAACACAAGCTAAGCGCTAAAAGCAACAGAAAACTTAAAACAGCAGAATGGTAGCTTAAAGCTAAAAGCAGCAAAGCAATAAATAAAAGCTAACACTAGAAGAAAAGTAATTAAAATGTAAAAGTTGCATAAGAAGTCAAGACAAGTGAATTTTAAAGAGAACAATGTTTTGCAAGGAACTGAAGAGTTGTACTGTAGACACATTTCTGCAAGGAATTTAACTTCAAACAAAGAAAGGTTAAAAAAGTTACTAAAACTAAAGGTCATTGCAGAGGATTCTTGGTAACACTGAACATCTTGATATATGAAAGCACAAAGTGTGTGGACGTAGTTTGATTGCAAAATACATACATAAGAACTATAAACAGGGAATCAATAATGTGAATGCTGAGTCAGCATTGTTGCATAATTGTTTTTAAAGCTTTCCAACACAAAATTTACACAGCAGTATGAGTTAGTATTTTTCAGTCACATCTCTAAGGTAGAAATGTAATCATCTGCTGAGATGATCACAACCTACAGATTTATATTTACACCATATGAAAAGATGAAAAACTTAGCTAAATGCACCGCTGGCTTCGAGGAATATTTAAAGCTCACGTACATCTGCACCGGATGGTCCCCTCGCTCCAGCTTCACCCCGCTCTCCCTTTTCACCCCTCTCTGCCTTTTGCACTGAGGGAGACGACATGGTGTCCTTCTCGTCCACCACCTCCTTCAAATCAGACACCTGTACAGCGGACAAAAATCCCAACAGGGCGAGTTTCACACCTTTCAGCAGCAGCAGATCATCGTGCAACACTTCTGACCTCATATAAAAACTGGCCAAGACAAACCAATAAACCAACATCGATGCAAGAAACAATAACGAAAAGCTGTAATTAATACATTGACATGTGCAAGAACAACATAAAATGCACCGTTTCAAGATTGTTTTTACTGATAAGAACATTACTAACACATTTATTCAAAGAAATCTAAAAATAAATGCATGTATCTAAGGGTTATAAACTAATAAACAGGTTTAGCATAGTTTTCCAATTTTAGCTTTGTAATTTTCTCATTCTTAAATCCAAAAATATATTTTAATGGTACAAATAAACTGGAAACAAAACACACACCTGAATCCCGAAGCTGGCCAGAGCTTTTTGCACATCCTTTCCAGAGAACCAGAAACACATTAGTACAAAAAGATTTGACAAATAAAAGAAAAATGGACAAAGCAAGGATTGTATTGCATGAATTGTGCTTGTATCGTACCACTGCGGTTCCAGGTTTACCCGGAGCCCCATCCTCTCCTGGGTCTCCCTACAAATAATGAAATATCAAAGGTGTCAGCACGAAACCTGAGAAACCTTTCTGTCACACTTTCATCGGGTTCGGTTCAAGTTTCACTCACAGTTTCACCTTTAGGACCAGGTAGACCTCTCTCCCCCTGAAACAAGAAAGAAGATCAAAAAACAGGTTGAGCTTTAGCGATTGAAAGCAAATGGTAAATGGACTGTACTTTTAAAGCTCATTTCTATCTTATCAAGATACTCAAAGCACTTTACAACACAATCTGTGCCCTCATTTATCCATTCATACTGCACTTTACTAGATCTATACAAGGATTAATCAGTGCTTTATCACATTCATACACCGATGGGACACACACTGGAGGCAATGAGGGGTTCAATGTCTTGCCCAGGGACACTTCAACATAGAATCAAACCCCCAACTCTTGCATTGGAGGACAACTGCTCTAACCACTCAGCCGCAGCCTCCCCATGGTAAAAACAGCGACTACTTACTCGAGCTCCTCCTGCTCCTGGGATCCCAGGAACCCCCTGAAGGACAAAAAATAACAAAGGCAAAACATATCAGGATGCTCTGAGAGGGATGCAGCAGTCCGTAGGGGCACACATCACCACTGCAATTCTCAGAAAACAATCAAAACCTGTTTGATTTGCTTTAATAGTTAAATCAGTCTGAAAAGATTTGCTTGACCAACCCCAGAAGGAGACCAAATCACATAATAAACATTTTTATGTTTGTATAACAGCGATGCTGCATAGCTCACAAACATGATCAACCCTGTTTGAGAAATTGACAGAATGGCAAGACCAGATGTCTTCGATCAAAACGTTAGATTGCAGATGTTCCACTCACGGGTGTTCCTGGAGGCCCCTGTGGCCCTGGGACTGGAGCAGCTTCGACTCCCTTTACGTACACAACCTGAGAGAAAGCAGGTGATTTAAGTAAAGCAACAATTTATCACTCTTATTACTGTTCGGTTGTCTTCTAAAGTCACACCTGTCCAGGAGGACCAATGCTGCCAGGCAATCCAGGAGGTCCCGGGGGACCAGAGGGGCCCGCAGGCCCGGCAGGCCCGTGGTCACCTTTCTGCCCATCACGGCCCTGAAAAATCACATGGTTACACAACCAAGAGTCACTCCACACCACTTTCTTTCTTTTTCCGCTATAGCGGAGGCTGAACTATAAAATCAAAGCAGGTGGCTGCTGCCACCCCTCCACTGATGTTCAAGGGATAATTAATGTGAATTTGCACATGAAAACAGCACTCTGACATTTGGTGCTCCTCTGGATCTCTCTCTGAAGTGGCTCCCCCTTAAAGGCTAAGCTTGATTATTAAAGGCCGGTGGATCTATAGAGCTGATTCTAAGAAGCCAATTGATTCAGCCGAGAGTGTGACTGTGGTGTCAGTGTCAAAGCAAACTGCTCCCCATAAGAAAAGTGACAAGCTGATGTGTAACGCAATCAAGGAAGACACGGTGAAAACGGGAAGGAGAGTAAAAAGAAAGGATGCTGAGTGGAAACAAACATTCAACAAAACACACAAGAGAGATAATTATATGAAGGAGGGTTAACAAAACTGACATCTCTTCCAGCTGCTCCAGCTTCTCCTTTGTCACCCTGCAGATGAGAAACAACACTCAGTTTTCTGTAGAACGAGCACCAACGTCAAAATGAGTATGCACATATAAATGATTGTTTTAGGAGAGCCTACAAGCTGCACGTTGTTTCGAAGGGATGTGAATGTGGCATATGAAACGTTTTTGCATTATATGATAAAAATTGCCTGATATTAGTGTCGCAAAAACAAAATTGTCATTGTAAAACCCTGGATGACCAAGGGACTGTTTAAACCTTGCAAGAAGAAAAATAAGTTGTATAGAGATTTTATTAGATTTCCAACTAAAGAGATGAAATACAAGGTATATAAAAAATAAATTGACAACATTAATAAGACAAGCTAAGAAAGATTACTTTTGGATCATAAACTTACAGTAACTGGAAATCTCATAAAACACATAAAACAAAAACTATGCAAAAATATTTAACTTCTAAATAAAGTTAAAAAACAGTTTTAGAATTATCAACACTCCAGACATTATATTATTCATGTGTTCTTCCATATCTGAGTTATTGTATAGAGGTATGGGGCAACAAATATAAAACCAACACTAAACCTTTGTCTGTGACACCAAAGGAAGTTATGAGAATTTTATATAAAGTGAACGCCAGAGAACACACAAATAAATTGTTTATTCAATCAAATATCTTGAAACTAAGGGATCTGGTTAATTTAAAAATGCTATTACCAGTAGTTATGTTTAAAGCTAGAAAGAGATTATTTCCAATTAATTTACAAAAGTTATTTTTCTTAAGCTCATGTGATAGAAATAACAAGGAAGTATGATTTCAAAAGTAAAATCGTGCGTACTACTTTAAAACAAACGTACATTTTGGTGCATGGAGTTCAATTCAAAACACTTTATAAGAAAAGAATGACTGACTTTTATACACTTTTGAGTTGTTAATGGGAAGAGTGATGTGTTTGCAACTTGTATTGTTGGTTTAATGTATACGGCCACGAACATTTTGTAATTACTGAGAAAGGGGGCGGGTCTATACAAGATTTTCTTCTTCCTGCTCCCTCTCCTCTCATGTATAGTCAGTGTTGTCAGAGAATGTGTTTGTAAACTATTGATCAATTATTTGATCAATTTGTTGAATTGAGTGAATAAATTGAATGATTGAAATTAAACACATTGCAGAGGCGTGGCAAAGTAAAAAGGAAATTTTGGATAACATAATATTTAAATAAGTTTATAATCTACAGCGTGCACTCTCAGGACATTATTACCTGCAGTGTTCCCTCAGTGAGGACTGAACTAGACAAAAGGGCCTTCTCCTACTCCGCTCCTGATTCCTGGAATATCTTACAAAAAGATTTGAAGCTCTCGACCTTGACCTCTCTAAGTGTCTTTAAACATCTAAGTTCCTGACAAGAACCAATGCAGACATGTTCCCGCGTTTAGTTTTCTACACTGCATTATTATCTAGCTGTTTTTTCACTACTTTTTCCTTTTGATTGTCCATTTGGTTGCCATTTTATTTTAATTTGTAAATAATAATAATTATAATAATTTAAATTTGTATGCCTCTTTTATCACTGTCTATTGTTGTCGTTGTTATCCACTGTTGTCATCACTCTTTGTTAACAAAATCAGGTCTCTCTTGTAAATGAGTTCCCGAGGCTCAATGGGATTAACGTGTATAAATAAAGGTTGAATGAATGAATGAATAAGTGACTGATTTTGGGGGGTAGGCAAAAATATATTTACATTTTCACTGAAAACTCAGTTGGGTTTAACAGTGATTCTCCACCTGGTTCAGAATAATTTATTCTGATAGTGTCAGATATAAAACGTATAAAAGAGCCACAGACCTTTCTGCCATCTTCACCGGGCACTCCATCCTCTCCCTGTGAGTCAAAACAAAACAGATTAGGAGCAGAATGATGGCTGGTCCTCTGCAGCAGCACTCTGTTCCACTGCTTCAGTGTCTCACTTAAGACAGCTATTATGCAGCAGACTTTGTAATAAATGTCTGAACAGCTTTTGACTGCTCACAGGAAAAGAATCGGTACATCAAGGCCATTACTGGTGAGAGATTAACAGACAGGCAGGCAGAACTCACAATATTTTTACGCCAAATGAGCAGAAAATGAAACCAAACATTATACGTTTGACTAAATCATGTGGAGAGTTACCATCTTGCCAGGAGAACCCGGTTTGCCATCTTCACCTGCTTTTCCCTAAAACATAAAGATTTATTTATAGGAACAACAAATGGGAAAACTTTATTTAAAAAAAAATACTGGTATGTGTAATGATGTGTACTTACAGGTATTCCTGGATTTCCTGGAGGACCAATGGGTCCCTGGGAACCCTGCTCGCCTCTTAATCCTGGTAATCCCTAATACAACAAAGTGCAAAGTGGATTTTGTCACTTGAGCAGAAGATTTTATCGTAAAAATAGCAAATATGTGTCCAAGCCATAAATGACTGTTTAATTTTAATGTACAGTGTCTTTTCTGTTAAACACAAATTAGATTATTGTGCTAAATTGTAAACGTGAAGCTGTTCAGGCCCTCTAGAAACATTGTTATTACCACATTATTATTGTCAATATTGCATAAAAGTCTCCGGTGAAAACAGATTGGCCTTGAGACATCTTCCTCTACAGTTGTCTTATGCAACAAGCCACAGGAGTGCAGAGTAAATATGAAATATGAACGTCTTCACAGTGCCCTCTGCAGTATATGAGCCTAAGTGCACAGATTTGGAAAAAGCTCACACTGAAGTCTTGTGTAACTAAGATAAGGCTTTCTTTTTTTTCCCAGGATTTAGGGAAATCAGACTATACAAAGCAAAGTGCCATTAAAAAAAAATCTTTAAGCTCACATCTCTCCCAGAGTCGCCCTGTTTTCCTGGATCACCCTGCAACAGAATAAATACAGTATAATGTAACCATACAGGTACATGCACCACAGTGGGGTTTATAGTTGTATCAAAGAAGCCAAAAACGGGGGTACCCTTAGTCCCGGTGGTCCTGAAGAGCCTGGTTTACCATCCAGACCAGGACGCCCATCCAAGCCAGATGCTCCTCTGTCTCCCTTTTCACAAAGAGACCAAAAACTATAATGAATATATCAGATAATGTATCATATTGTTTTAAAATTCCTGCAATTCTCTTTGTATTAGAAAAAGCTATCTACAAAAATGTTTGATGGTAATTAATCATAACCTTCCTTCAGAGCCCCACTTTAAAAAAGTTTGAACTGTTGCTCTATAGCAGGGGTGCCCACACTTTTTCAGCATGCGAGCTCCTGTTAAAACGACCAAGTCAACGTGATCTACCTACTATAACGCTCTGTTTACATGAGAACAACTTCTGGAAATGTTAGTGCTTTCTCAATGTTTATTGGGGGTAATAAACAAAAAATGAGCAGGTTTACACGAAAATGCTGTAGTTTACGTGTCAGCCGGGTTGCCAGATAAGAAATTATGTACTGTTGCTTTAAAATGATAGTATTTTGGCCTAAACTGTCATATGTGCTGTGTAAAGATATTCTAAAATGAGATGTGCACTGTGTTTGTTGAACATGTGCACAGAAAAGGAGAGGGTAAATAAGGCATTTAAAATTTATCTGGCAACCCTGATGCGGGGCTCAGCTGCATTCATTGTGCATGCAGTGTCTGCATGACAGTTACGTCCAAACTGGTGATTATGGTAACCTCTCTTTGGAACCTAAATTTTATTAGTTGTGCTCCTACATGCTGAAAAAGTGTGAGTAGCGCAAAAACACTCAGCTCTCTGCCGTTTATTATAAGTGTTATTAATGCAGAAAATCTTTGGACTGCAGCCACCTGTAGTGTGCATGTGTGACTTCACACTTTCGGTGCTTCTCACACCTCTGCAGGGGTTACCTCTACTCTGAGACCTGGATTCAGCAACCTTCGGTTTCAGAGAGAAGGTGGGCTGTTGTCGTGTGAGTGAACAGCCGAACCACAGCAGAAAGGCTGCTGTTTCACGTCGTGTGAACTGGGCTCAGACTGTCTGCCCTGTATGTCAATCAAGTGACAAATTATAGGCTGGCGTCTGTTTTTTTTTTTAATGCAATGAGATCTACCCATAATACTTTTGTGATTGAGCAGTAGATCGCGATCATTGTACTGGGCCCCATTGCTCTATAGGATTAAATGTCCTATATTGTAGTTCAACAGAGAAAACAAGCAACAGGAATGAATCTTTTATTTTGTCTTTACTCATTGTGAAGGGCAGCACACATACAGGAAGGTTCTTCCTCAGGAAACGCCTGAGGCGGTGGGTTATGATTAGTTTGAAGCAGCGCAGCACTGACCAGTCGCACTAAATGATTTCAAACCTTCTCTCCAGGTGCTCCTCTTTCTCCTGCATCGCCCTGGAAATTTTAGAAGAAAAATAAAAAATAGTTTTACAGTTAGTGAACAATATCTACTGCAGTTAACACTAAAGTAGGGAGTGAGCTCACTTTAGTGCCGGCGGGCCCCCGTGGTCCCTCTGAACCCTTTACAGACAGTAGACGAAGAACAAGAAGTCAGTCTGGATGACCAGTCAAGAACAGTAAATGTACACAGAAAAGAGTTGTGTTCGCAGTAGAGAGGAGCATCAGTTCTCATTAAGGTGTTAGAAAATAGCCAGGACGAGGTCGACTCACTCGCAGGCCTGGAGCTCCGTGAGTTCCTGCTTCGCCTTTCTGACCTTTGCTGCCGTGCTCTCCTGGGTCGCCTGCATCGCCCTGGAGATCACAGTGATGTAACTTTGTTTAATCTGTGCAACCTGCTTTTAAACCGCAACTACAACACATTTTATTTCATTTTAGTTTTGTTTTAACCGTAGCATTTGTATTGTGGAGTGACAGATAGTAGGAGAGCACGTACCTTCTCACCTCTCTCGCCTCTCAGCAGAGCCTGGGCGTCAGCCTGCAAGCACACACATATGGAAGTTCACATAGTAGCTCTGCCTTATCTGGTCCATCGGAGTTAAACTGTAAACAGTTCACTCTGTGCAGGAACATAAAGTGTTTTGAACTTATTTTTATCTTCAATTTTAAGGGATAATTTTACCAGTTTTCCTGGTGGTCCCGGAGGCCCTTGAGGTCCCTGGCAGGAGAAAGTAAAGTGTTTGAATCTGCTGAACGCAGATATAAAGAAACATGAGATGTTCGTATAATTAAAGAAGACAGCATACGAGCTCTCCTTTCTCTCCTCTCGGTCCAGCAGGTCCAGGACTGCCCTGCAATCAAACACAGATCAATAAAGGTGCCGAGCGGCCGACCTTCCTCACGGTTTCCTCTCACCCGGCCTTGGCAGAGGAACACGAGAGCGTATTGAAAATCTGTCTGTGCGATGAAACATAAATGAGACTCTCACATTTCGTCCGTGCTCTCCTGGGTCTCCCACGTCTCCTTTCTCTCCTGGTCGTCCGGGCTGACCAGCCAGTCCCTGAGTGGGCGGTCAATTATAATGTCGGTCAACTATACTTGATGCAACTTGACAGCTTCAAAGTTTTAATGTGAAAGCTGAAAAAGGGAGAGAGAGGGAAAATAAGAGGTGTCTTACCCGAAGCCCTCTTTCTCCAGGCTTCCCTGATAGTCCTTGTTCTCCCTGATGAAAAAATTGAAAAACAAGAAACAAGCTTACACAGATGATCAGATACACAACCTTAATGTCACGGCAAAACTCTTTAGCTATAAAAACATTAATAAAAATTATAGTGCCTAATTTTCCTGACAAATACTAAAACAAAATTGTACAATTTCCTGCGGGATCAATAAAGTTCCATCTTATCTTAAAATATGCCAAACAGAAAAAGCAGTAAAAGAAAGAAATGTATACTCACAGGCGTGCCATCGTCACCTTTGTCCCCCTTGTCTCCCTATAAAACAGGTTTCATTCAGAAATGTCAACATAACTACATCAGAAGAAATAGTTATTAGAAATGCCATTTGTGGGGAAAAAAATAAATAATTTTTCATAAAATATCATCTCTTGAAAAAATTAACGTATTTTCCGGTGTATAAGTTGCATTTTTTTGCATAGATTTGTCAGTCCTGCGACTTATACGTCAAAGCTACTTATATTATATGTGTTTTTTTTTCTCCATATTCATAACACAATTTTTACTGACGCTTTAAATTTCGAAGAACTGCAACAGCAAGTTCTCCTGTGCACGCTCGCTTCACTCAGCTGGTGCAGGCAGAGGAACGCTGGAGAGCTAGCGGCTCTGGCCACGATGGATGGATGGATGGATGGATGGATGGATGGATGGATGGATGGATGGATGGATGGATG